TTTTCGGTCAATACTTGCCAGCCATTCGCCTCTCTTCTTTAAACTTCAAATATAGGGAGCTCTACATTTCGCCATTGAAACCTGCTTTTTTTTTTTTTTTTTTTTTTTTTTTTTTTTTTTTTTTTTTTTTTTTTTTTTTTTTTTTTTTTTTTTTTTTTTTTTTTTTTTTTTTTTTTTTTTTTTTTTTTTTTTTTTTTTTTTTTTTTTTTTTTTTTTTTTTTGTTCTTTACATTTCTAATATATGTGCCCTATTTATCATACTTAAATAAATGAAGGACTGCATGCCATACTCATACTTACTATCATACCATATATTTAATTTTTAAAAACTTAGTGGCACTAAATTTTCTTTAATTTTTTTCAACCCAGAGTTGTTGTTTTTTAATCCTTTATATTAACTTCGCTTTGGTTAGTGGCTGGCTGTCAAAATCTTCGGAATTCGAAATGACCCACTACCCGTCAACCTATCGAGCAGAAACTTGGCACATAGACTCGTTGCCGATGACAACACATTTCGTCACATGTCCAGCCCCACCCCAACCTTAATCCCTCCCTCCAAAAAAAAAAAAGAATAGTTTCTGCTTTTTGTGGGGCAGATGAAGGAAGTATGATGCCACTAATTTCACGAAATAACATTCCATATAACTTCACTAAATGAGAGGGGGTTTTATTTTTTTAATATATCGCAAGTTTCTTCAATGCGCGTAATATTTTCTTTTGATTTTTTTTTTCGGAAATAGTGGTTGAAATAAATGTTCGGTTCAAATGAGGGGGGTTTATTAGAAAATTAATATAAAAGAAAATTATAAAAAGTGCAAATAAAGGCTTTATACGCAAAAACTTTGTAATGATTTTTTTAAATTTTAACTGATTTTATTTTTTTTTAATTTCCTTTTTTTTTTTTTCTGCACAGATTTTTTGCCACCTCAAGGAATACCTCTGCTTTCTGATTCCACACTGCATTGCGCTTCACCAGGTGTTCGTCACACTTCAGTACGCTCAGCGGCAGATCGGCTTCACCAGCTTCACGGTCCATCGGTCTAGACTGGAGCAGGTGTTCCTCATGTTCGTCAAGGACAGCACGACGTTCACCAAGAGCAGCACGTGCCTGTGACGGGCACCACTTTGAAGTGCACCAAATTTTTGAGATGCGCCACATTGTCTTTGAGGGGGTCGCACCAAATTATGATGTGCGTCACATTGTCTTTGAGAGTCTCGCACCAAATTATGATGTGCGTCACATTGTCTTTGAGAGTCTCGCACCAAATTATGAAGTGCGACACTTTGTCTTTGAGAGTCTCGCACCAAATTATGATGTGCGTCACATTGTCTTTGAGAGTCTCGCACCAAATTATGATGTGCGTCACATTGTCTTTGAGAGTCTCGCACCAAATTATGAAGTGCGACACTTTGTCTTTGAGAGTCTCGCACCAAATTATGATGTGCGTCACATTGTCTTTGAGAGTCTCGCACCAAATTATGAAGTGCGACACTTTGTCTTTGAGAGTCTCGCACCAAATTATGAAGTGCGACACTTTGTCTTTGAGGGTATAGTTTTAAACGGAAGCACAATGATTACCATTTACATGGACTCACAATTGATGATGACGCGATTTTATTATCATAGGACCATTTGAATTTTGTCAATTTGATGAACTCTTGAATTAGGTATTTAAACGGGGGACGGGGGGGGGGTATATTGTTTGAGATGAAACTTTGTTGTGTATTAAACAAACAAAAAAAATAAACTGAAACTAATAATCGTGTTTCAATTTAATTTTGTTTTATTATGTGTTTGATAAACGTAATTGTATTTGTTACTTGAGATCTGAATATAAACATAAAAAAGTGTTATCATCATTATAAACATATGAATTATTTATATAAATGACACCCTTACCTACATGCGTATCATTTGTCATACATAGTTATATCATCATTCAAGACATGTAGCCTATATCAACCTTAAAATAAAATCAGTAACTTTCATCAACATGTAACCTTTGACCTTAGGCATTGAAGAAACATTGACTCAAATAATGTGAGCTAACATCAGACGTTAAATGGTATTTTTAACAGCTTGTTATCTGACGATGTGTCTGTCGGTGATAGTATAAAGTGCTAGGCTATGTTCCGAATGTGTTAAAAGTTCACACAAATGAGATCATCTTCATGACTTGTGGTACAGCCATCGTGTTGACATTGGACCCCACTTTTCAAAAAGTTTTTTTTTAAATAGAAAAATTGAAAAGTGTGTAATACTAAATATTTTGAAAAAAAATGTCAATTCTAAATTAGTCTGACACAGAAACTGAGTAGAATTTAAGACCGTGAAATAGCCACTCCAGCAGGCAGTTTCTGTGGTGAACATGACCCAGCCTTGACCAGCTGCACACCATGACCCAGCCTTGACCAGCTGGACAACATGACTCAACCTTGACCAGCTGGACACCATGACCCAGCCTTGACCAGCTGGACACCATGCCCCAGCCTTGACCAGCTGGACACCATGACCCAGCCTTGACCAGCTGGCCTTGTTGAGTTTGTAAGTCTGTAATGACTCCTGATCCTGGAGAAATATAATCTAAAAAATCGTATCAAATTGAATTGGACAATGAAATTCAATGAAAAGAATTTCTGCACTGGAATGATGCACCAAATGAACATACCAAATGAACATACCAAATGAACACACCAAATGAAAACACAACAAATGAGCGCACGTACTGAATGCACCAAATGAACGTACCAAACGAACGTATCAATGAATGCACCAATGAACGCACCAATAAACCCACCAAATGAACGCACGCACCAAATGAACGCACCAAAGAAACACATTACATTAACACACCAAATGAAGGCACCAAATGAACGCACCTAATAAACACATTAAATTAAAAAACCAAATGAGGGCACCAAATGAACGCACCAAATAAACACATTAAATGAACACACCAAATGAAGGCACCAAATGAACGCACCAAATAAACACATTGAATGAACACACCAAATGAAGGCACCAAATGAACGCACCAAATAAACCCATTAAATGAACACACCAAATAAAGGCATCAAATGAACGCACCAAATAAACACACCAAATGAAGGCACCAAATGAACGCACCAAATAAACCCATTAAATGAACACACCAAATAAAGGCATCAAATGAACGCACCAAATAAACACACCAAATGAAGGCACCAAATGAACGCACCAAATAAACCCATTAAATGAAAACACCAAATGAACGCATCAAATAAACACATTAAATGAACACACCAAATAAACACATTAAATGAACACACCAAATGAAGGCACCAAATGAAGGCACCAAATAAACACATTAAATGAACACACCAAAATGAAGGCACCAAATGAAGGCACCAAATAAACACATTAAATGAACACACCAAATGAAGGCACCAAATGAAGGCACCAAATAAACACATTAAATGAACACACCAAAATGAAGGCACCAAATGAAGGCACCAAATAAACACATTAAATGAACACACCAAATGAAGGCACCAAATGAAGGCACCAAATAAACACATTAAATGAACACACCAAATGAAGGCACCAAATGAAGGCACCAAATGAATGCACCAAATAAACACATTAAATGAACACACCAAATGAAGGCACCAAATGAAGGCACCAAATGAAGGCACCAAATGAAGGCACCAAATGAACGCACCAAATGAAGGCACCAAATGAAGGCACCAAATGAAGGCACCAAATGAAGGCACCAAATGAAGGCACCAAATGAAGGCACCAAATGAACGCACCAAATAAACACATTAAATGAACACACCAAATGAAGGCACCAAATGAAGGCACCAAATAAACACATTAAATGAACACACCAAATGAAGGCACCAAATGAACGCACCAAGTGAACGAAACAAATGAACGCAACAAATGAACACACTAAATGTAAGGGACATTGAGAGAAATTAAAAGTTTAAGAGTTCTTTCTATTGGGGGTAGCGGGACGCCGCTATGATACGTTAGCAATATTAAAGTTTTAGAATTAATGCGTTGTTATTGTTTTAGATACTCTTTCAGAAATGAATTATTATTCATTTATCATGAAGCGTATTTTGGGCGTAACCTGATCAAAACTCTTTATTTGTGATTTACGTCATGATATAATTTCAGACAATTTTTATGTGCAGGCTCATCTTAAATTTGTGTGCAGAAAATCAGGTCAGCCAATAGATTTGGCAACAGCTGGTCTACCGATTAAAAAGGGGGGTGGGGGATGAATGGAGGAACGAGGGGGGGGGGGGGTTTCACTCAAAAAAAATGAATGCCAATGCTTTATTTTAAAATTTTGATTAGCTTGAGAACTGTCCAACATCACAACAAGGAAGAGATCTTTAATTTTGATGTGCAATTTATTAAAATGAATGGAGGAACGAGGGGGGGGGGGGTTTCACTCAAAAACAATGAATGCCAATGCTTTATTTTAAAATTTTGATTAGCTTGAGAACTGTCCAACATCACAACAAGGAAGAGATCTTTAATTTTGATGTGCAATTTATTAATGGCATCTATTACAAAGTACACACAAAAAGACAATACAACATTTGGTGTTGTTTTGTTGTTGTTTTTTTTATATAAATGTTCCGTACTTTTGTTATCATGGTTTCTTGCGGTGACTTCTAGGGCGCCCTCCCCTCCCCCCCCTCAACCCACATTACCCCCCTACACCTACCGCCACAAATTGACAGGTGAGGGGTGTAGGGTGGGGGGTGATGTGGTTGTTTAGTTAGATGGTGAAAGAAGATCTATTTTTTTTTTATGATGGATCTTGATGTTCACTTTGTTTCACGATCAAAGTTGTCCTGGGTCTTTTTTTAATTATTTTTTTATGATTATTTTCCTTTTGTTGATGGATCGTCCTGACGAGCTGTGTATCGACCACGTCACGTGTTGGGTAATGCAACCCCGCCCCCCAAAAAAATGTGCGAGCTTTATATGCGAGTGTGAGCGCCGTCAGTAAATGCACCAGGGGGTAAAATATGGTGACTCTCTAGTGGACACTTTACGCCTTTTTGTCGATTTAAAAAAAAAATGAAAGTAGGCTCTCTCATACTGCCGAGCTTTGCATTCTGTGTGCTGGTTTCTTGCAGTGGGACTCTCCTAATTTACCTGTGCCTCTTCCGGACCTCGTTGTCGACTGTTCAAACTCATCGCGACATGGCAAATTTTAATGTACTGGGTGAGTGCGTGTTTAGTTGACCGTGAGTACTCATTGCCATTCTCATTGGTTATTTAGGGTCGGGTGGCTGTATGTGCGTGTGTGTGTGTGTGTGTGTGTCGTCTCTGTGCATGTAAGTGTTTGTGTGTGTTTGTGTGTGTCTCTGTGCATGTCTGTGAGTGTGTGTTTGTTTGTGTGTGTCTCTGTGAATGTAAGTGTGTGTGTGTGTTTGTTTGTGTGTCTCTGTGCATGTGTGTTTGTGTGTGATTGTATGTGTGCATGTGTGTGAGCGTGGGCGTGTGTTTGTAGTTAATAAATATGTTCGTGTTTAAGCGTGTAAGTAAGCGTGCGTGGGTGTAGAGATGGATGGAAGGACGGGTGGATAGGTGGAGGGGTGGATAAAGGGATGGATGGATGGATGACTGAAGGGATGGGTGGGTGGATGGATTTGTCGGAGGAATTGGGGTTCTTTGAGGGAGGGAGAGATGTCTTATTTAGGATCAAACAATGAGGTGGGTTAGGGAGGGGAGGTGGTTGGCAGTAGTGGACAGTAGTGGAAAGTAGTGGGCTGTAGTGGGAAGCAGTGGGCAGAAGTGGACAGTAGTGGGAAGTATTGGGAAGTAGTAGGCACTCATGTAAAGAATGGGCAGTAGTGAACAATAGTGGTCTGTATTTGGCAGTAGCAGACAGTGTTTGACAGTAGTGGGAAATGTTACCTATCTCCTGGGACTCATGCAGTTAGAGTTACGCAGGAGTCTTCCACTTATTTATGCTCATTCAATTAGCCGAATTTTGATTTATTTACTTTCAATTTTTTCCACCAACAACTAACGTAATTTTTTAAAAATCATTTGAGTGTACGTGCTGACCACGCACTGGGTTTACGTGCTGACCACGCACTGAGTGTACGTGCTGACCACGCACAAAGTTACTGCCTGTTTATTCAACGCAAAACTCGACGCCAAATTATGGCTAGCCACCTTCACTTGAATGGAATCAATAATTTAACCATATTCAGAGTTCAAAGTCTCCTTGTGTCTCTATGAACAATGAAAATCTGTTCCATCGTCATGTCCTGTGTCGTACAGTTATGATTAGCTATTTGAAGAAAACAATAGACGGATGTCATTCTAAGTCCTAAGACATCATATTTAATTAAGGGAGTTTGGTGTCTAAACGCCATTTGTTTTCTGCCATTGGGCCCCATTCTTGGGGGTCCTCCTTAAGCCCAACACACAAAACACACGACAAGCGGGGGGGGGGGGAAATATTCATCTCTAAGTGTGGATAACTAATCTTACCTCTCTATGGACACTAACCAAATTTTTGTGTTGCTCATTGGAAAAATCAAACCTTGTGTTTTTACACAGAAATTGAAAGCCTGACGCTAACATTTTAACGAGGCTTTTAGATGGAGAATGTTTTACATTCGGTAATTGCATTTTATAGAAGATGATGTGCAAATTGTGGCCCATTGTTCAATATCGAAAGAAGAGCAAAGTCCAATGTTTTACCCACCACAAGGTATCACGATGACAGCTCTGATCAAATGATATAAAGTATACCAACAGGTACATTTTTATGTATACTAACTGGTATATTTTATGTATACAAACTGGGATATTGTTATGCGTACCAACTGGTATTTAATATTATGTTGCCGCCTTTGTTATGGGGGGCCATCAGGTGGGACGTTCGTCGGCGTCTGTCTCTGTTAGTAAAACTGCAACTTTTCATCTTCGTTACTAATTTTTAAGGCCATCTGCGGTACCCCGTACTGTCAATTCGAATTACTTGGGTTCTATAGGAACATTTATTGTGGCAAAACAAGGAGAGGGTTTAATTACTCTATCCGAAGATTTATCGTGGCACAACAAGGAGAGAGTTGAATAACTTGGGTTCTATACGAACATTTATTGTGGAGAGGTTTGGTCAAGAATTGTACTTCGAATATTGTAACGTCTCGGTATTTAGACTATGTTTATATAGGCTCGAGGACTACGAGATCTTTGACGAGAGTACAAGATACCGAGACGTTACAAATTTATATATATATATATATATATATATATATATATATATTTATATGTGTGTGTGTGTGTGTGTGTGTGTGTGTGTGTTTGTGTGTGTAGATATAGATATATANTATATATATATAAATATATATATATATATATATATATATATATATATATATATATATATTAATTTATGTATTTATTTATTTGTATGTGCCCGTGGAAGGCCCTATAAACATTTTTCAAATTACACATCCCAACAGTTTATGATGATCCAGCTATTGAGATGGCAAGGCCACCGACGAGCCGTCTGTCAGTCAACATAACTAAACCCACCTCTCAGGCCGGGCCATCTTTAGAAAACATCACCACAACCTCTGCTTTTTTACCACCGATCACAGGGTCAGCCACCCCCTCGTCTGAGTTTGCGTCTCCCTACATGTGTTTGGTGGATGCCGACAACCGAAGTCTTGGAGTGGACACAAGTCATTGCACTGTGGTTGTCCAGCGAGCCGTGTGGACAATTTCCCGACGTTCAGCCGAGAAGCTGATTGAAAAAGGAAGTCGGGGTGAAGCGGTAAAAGCGAGAACCTTCTCCGCCATAGCTCCTTGTTTGAATGGTTCCGTCAACTGTTTCCGGGTGGTTCAGGTGGTGGGCGATTGCTTGCACACCAACTGTCAGTTCACCTGGAACTGGCGAGACGCTGACGTCCTGGTGTTTGATGCTGTTAAGTAGGTGAAGTATAGGCTTAGAGCAAAATTTTGAAATTGTGAATTTTTTTTAAACTTTCAAAACGGCGAAAGAATTATTATAAGTAGGTGGTCACACGAAATAAATAGGCTCTATGTGCACAACTAGTGCACCACTTGTAGACGATTGTTAAATAGACTCTATGTGCACAGCTAGTGCACCACTTGTAGACGATTGTTAAATAGATTGTATTAACACAGCTAGTGCACCACATGTAGACGATTGTTAAATAGACTCTATGTAAAATGCTAGTGCACCACTTATGGACGATTTAAAATAGACTCTATGTACTCAGCTAGTGCACCATTTGTAGACTATTTTTAATAGACTATATGTACACAGCAAGTGCACCACTTCTAGACGATTGTTAAATATACTCTATGTGCACAACTAGTGCTCCACTTGTCGACTATTGTTAAATTGACTCTATTTACACAGCTAGTGAACCACTTGTAGACGATTGTTAAATAGACTCTATGTGCACAACTAGTGCTCCACTTGTCGACTATTGTTAAATTGACTCTATTTACACAGCTAGTGCACCACTATTAGACGATTATTAAATAGACTCTATTTACGCTGCTAGTGCACCACGTGTAGACGATTGTTAAATAGTCTCTATGTACACTGCTAGTGCACCACTTATTGATGATGTTTTAATGTTTCATGTAAACAAACAGTACAGCACGCGGTAGCTATTAAGTACCGGTGATAGGCTACATATAAAAATTATTGCACACAACTAGTTCGACGACTTGTAATAGCTTACAGCGGATTGTTAGACACAAAGCAACACATATAGTATACAAAAATCTATGTTAAATCCCTTTTGAATTCCAATATCTTTAGATTTGGACCAAAGTTCTCACAACTGGACTTCCCGAGACGACCTGGCCAACGTTGGGTGATGAGAACACAGGAAGCACCTTGCAGATCTCGGCACTTTGCCGGACTCCAATCCCCGTTGTTTTACGGTAACAAAAAAATTATTGGCTGCCATGTTTTGTTCCATTGATATACCGGGGGGGGGGGGTCTAATGGGATCGCATTTGGGTTGGGGGGGCTTTGTTGAGGAAGCACCTTGCAGATCTCGGCACTTTGCCGGACTCCAATCCCCGTTGTTTTACGGTAACAAAAAAATTATTGGCTACCATGTTTTGTTCCATTGATATACCGGGGGGGGGGATCTAATGGGATCGCATTTGGGTTGGGGGCGCTTTGATGGAGTCACGAATTTTTGCGGTTTGAGGTGGGTGTGATTTCATTCATTTTGACTGAAGGGGGGAAAAAAATCAGTTTTGAAAACTATTGAGTCACAAATCATAGTCTTGACCAAGGATGAACTAGGTTAAGTGTTATTGGGAAACCTGTTCAGTTTTCTTACTTTTAACAACTGAAAATAATGCGGTGTGCGACCGGTGTGTCGTGGGCAGGGCTGGGAAAAGCAAAAGATGCGCCGGGGGAAAAGGCTGGATTTAGATTGGGGGTCTGTCGCCCACTTTCGTACTCGCCTATTGCGTCGGTAATTATTGCGTTTTACACGTCAAATTCGGTCACAAGTTTATGCGTCGTCATCTCATTTAAACTTAACAAAAATTATATTTTAAGAACAACGTAAACTTTAATCCAGGCTTTTCTGTCATTGGGTCGTACGATGGTGCAAACACGTGAAGCGCAGTGAATTTGCTACTGAAAAACAATAGAACCTGCTCCCTCAGAGCTCAGACAGCAACTGCCAAAACTAATAGCACGTGCTCAAAGGACAGCTGAGACACTACGTCACAGATACATGAAAACACGTCACGTCTACGTCAGAAGTCTCGTGGCGGAAATAAAAAATCGATGATAACATTGTCATTGTAAACTGTTCCTTACAAAGCAACTTTTAAACAAAAAAACTGATATTATTCTTGATTGATGTATCGCGAAACTGTAAGGTCTGTTACAGGCAATGTCAAACATGCGGTCACATTGCAAGCACGCCTATGACTTTCCTCTGGTCATTGAACGGCCATTACTGCAGTTTTTAGATTTTAAACAGGACACACAGACGTCGTCCAGAACAATGGAATTTAATCTGGGACAAACGCTTGGGACAGCGACACCGGGTAGTGACCGCTCTTTCTCCTTCCTCCCCCACGGTGTTATGTCGGGGTCAAGTGGATGTCTTTCCTTTACAATTTGATTCTCAAACTGGGGTATCGGCCTCCATGAATCCCCAGTGGTAGGCTGCATTATGTGGTTGGTTTTGTTCCGGAGTATTGCGTGTAAACGTACCAAGAAGACACAGTAGAGATGTCCTTCTCAAATTGGATTGGACGCGCCTGGTAGTTGGGTAATATGGTAGTTGGGTAATATGATAGTTGGGTAATATGGTAGTAGGGTATATGGTAGTAGGGTAATATGGTAGTAGGGTAATATGGTAGTAGGGTCATTTGGTAGTAGGGTAATATGGTAGTTGGGTAATATGGTAGTAGGGTAATATTTTGTATGGTAATATGGTAGTAGGGTAATATGGTAGTATGGTAATATGGTAGTATGGTAGTATGGTAGTATGGTAATATGGTAGTATGGTAATATGGTGGTATGGTAATATGATAGTCCAACAGTCTGTATCACCTGGCCCATTCCACGGACCAGACGTTCAAACCTGTATGCGTTACCTGTCATTTTTTTTCTTTCTAGGCTCCAACATTTAAACCCCGTATCTTATTTCAGGCCAGTTCAACTGGAGTCTTACATTTCGCCTAGACTCCGACATCGTTCTTCTCTACGGCAAGTTGAAGCGCCTGACCTCACTTCCGCGTAAAGACTACGACGGCCTCTATTCCGGCAAAAACCTGACCGCCGCCTGGTTCGTCAGCCACTGCTCCACACAAAGCAGGCGGATGCCCTACGTGAAACGGATGCAGAAAGTCAGCGACGTGCACATCTTTGGACGTTGTGGCAACCTCAGCTGCCGTAAGGGAAGGAGCAAGCAGGAATCTGACCACGACCAGTGTTTCCCGTTGCTCAGCAAACGGTATTTCTTCTATCTGGCGTTTGAAAACTCGATCTGCAACGATTACGTCACCGAGAAATTTTTCAAAATTTTCACCAGTGCCGACGTCGTCCCCGTGGTTCGGGGCGGAGCCGATTACAAGCGATATTTCCCGCCCGATACGTTTATAGACGCCTCGGACTTCGACTCGCCCGAGGCTCTGGGCGAGTATCTCAAAGATTTGTCGCGGGATAAGGATCGATACCTGCGTATGCTAAGAGAGAAGAACAAGTACACGCATGTGAGGCAGAGAAAATGGCCGTGCCAGCTGTGCGATAAGATGAGCGAAGACACTGGCATCCAGTGGTACCCTGGCGACAACATGTGGACCTGGTTTGTTAAAGACCAGTGCAATAATCCCAAATAGCGACATCGTATTATCCAAATATGTGTAGGAACGTTTCCTGCATTAATAATTTACAATGAGTTCATCCAGTTACAATATATATGTAAGAATATTTCAGTTTGCACCCGAGTATGTGTATGATGATGAATCCCCTGATAAAACATGTCCGAGTATGTGTATGATGATGAATCCCCTGAGAAAACATGTCCGAGTATGTGTATGATGATGAATCCCTTGACAAAACATGTCCGAGTATGTGTATGATGATGAATCCCCTGACAAAACATGTCCGAGTATGTGTATGATGATGAATCCCCTGAGAAAACATGTCCGAGTATGTGTATGATGATGAATCCCTTGACAAAACATGTCCGAGTATGTGTATGATGATGAATCCCCTGACAAAACATGTCCGAGTATGTGTATGATGAGGAATAGTCAAGTATCAGGTGGAACAGTCAAGTATCAGGTGGAACAGTCAAGTATCAGATGGAATAGTCAAGTATCAGATGAAATAGTCAAGTATCAGATGGAATAGTCAAGTATCAGATAGAATAGTCAAGTGTCAGATGAAATAGTAAAGTATCAGATGAAATAGTCAAGTATCAGATACAATAGTCAAGTATCAGATGGAATAGTCAAGTATCAGATGTTAATAGTGAAGTATCAGATGGAATAGTCAAGTATCAGATGGAATAGGCAATTATCCGATCGAATAGTCAAGTATCAGGTGGAATAGTCAAGTATCAGGTGGAACAGTCAAGTATCAGATGGAATAGTCAAGTATCAATTAAAATAGTCAAGTATCAGATGGAGTAGTCAAGTATCAGATGAAATAGTCAAGTATCAGATGGAACAGTCAAGTATCAGGTGGAACAGTCAAGTATCAGGTGGAACAGTCAAGTATCAGATGGAATAGTCAAGTATCAGGTGGAATACTCAAGTATCAGGTGGAACAGTCAAGTATCAGGTGGAACAGTCAAGTATCAGATGGAATATTCAAGTATCAGATGGAATAGTCAAGTATCAGATGGAATAGTCAAGTATCAGGTGGAACAGTCAAGTGTCAGGTGGAACAGTCAAGTATCAGGTGGAACAGTCAAGTATCAGATGGAATAGTCAAGTATCAGGTGGAATACTCAAGTATCAGGTGGAACAGTCAAGTATCAGGTGGAACAGTCAAGTATCAGATGGAATATTCAAGTGTCAGATGGAATAGTCAAGTATCAGATGGAATAGTCAAGTATCAGGTGGAACAGTCAAGTGTCAGGTGGAACAGTCAAGTATCAGGTGGAACATTCAAGTATCAGATGGAACAGTCAAGTATCAGGTGGAATACTCAAGTATCAGGTGGAACAGTCAAGTATCAGGTGGAACCGTCAAGTATCAGATGGAATAGTCAAGTATCAGGTGGAACAGTCAAGTATCAGGTGGAACAGTGAAGTATCAGGTAGAACAGTCAAGTATCAGATGGAATAGTCAAGTATCAGGTGGAATAGTCAAGTATCAGATGGAACAGTCAAGTGCCAGATGAAATAGTCAAGTATCAGGTGGAATAGTCAAAAACAGATGGAACAGTCAAGTATCAGATGGAATAGTCAAGTATCAGGTGGAATAGTCAAGTATCTGGTGGAACAGTCAAGTATCAGTTGGAATATTCAAGTATCAGATGGAATAGTCAAGTATCAGATGGAATAGTCAAGTATCAGATGGAATAGTCAAGTTTCAGGTGGAACAGTTAAGTATCAGGTGGAACAGTCAAGTATCAGATGGAATAGTCAAGTATCAGGTGGAATAGTCAAGTATCAGATGAAATAGTGAAGTATCAGATACAATAGTCAAGTATCAGATGAAATAGTCAAGTATCAGATGTTAATAGTTATGTATCAGATGGAATGGTCAAGTATCAGATGGAATAGTCAAGTATCAGATGGAACAGTCAAGTATCAGGTGGAACAGTCAAGTACCAGGTGGAACAGTCAAGTATCAGATGGAATAGTCAATTATCCGATGGAATAGTCAAGTATCAGATGGAACAGTCAAGTGTAAGATGGAATAGTCAAGTATCAGATGGAACAGTCAAGTGTAAGATGGAATAGTCAAGTATCAGATGGAACAGTCAAGTGTAAGACTGTAAGATGGAATTGTCAAGTGTCAGATGAAATAGTCAAGTAGGTGATATAGTCAAGTATCAATTAAAATAGTCGAGTAGATGGACTAGTCAATTATTACAGATTTGCATGTTAAAAATCATTTAACGTTTTGACCGAAATAAGGAACAAAAAAGCGCGATTGCCTTTAACATACTACGTTGTATCCCATTGCCAGTATGAGCCCCTAACTCACGTAACTGCGGCCGGCTTGTGTACGTTGAAATGGCGAACTGTTGAAGATGATAGCCCTCCAAAATATTGCATACCATGTATTTTGTAAAGCTATTGGGTTGTTGACGTGCCAAAATATAGCATACCTTGTATTTTGTAAAGCTATTGAGTTTTTGTTTTTCATCTATGTGTTTCTTTTAATGTGTAGCGTAACCAATAGTAAAGAGGGGGGGGGGAGGTAGTGGGGGGGCGGTCCGCGCCTCGGACATTCCTCTTTTCCTCAAATTTTTGGAGGGGCAGCATTTTCGGCCACATGCAGATGGTTTTTTTTTTCGTGGAAGTGAGGGGACCAATAGCTTGTCTCGTCCCGGTGGGAAGTTGGCACTAACACTTAGCCACGGGATGTGACTCTGTGATAATAAAGTGGGGTGCCCGCCAAATCTACATGGTTTTTGTATGGCTAAAGCAGAGCTTGTGTACTACTAAAGCAGAGTTTGTGTACGTCTAAAGCAGAGTTTGTGTACGTCTAAAGCAGTTTATGTACTTCTGAACCAGAGTTTGTGTACGGCTGAAGCAGAGTTTGTGTACGGCTAAAGCAGAGTTTGTGTACGGCTAAAGCAGAGTGTAACAATGTATCCACGAGTTATGACAGTGGTTTTTCACTCCACAAATTCCCCCACAAGTATGAATACTGAGGCCGGTCTCAGTGGAAATTTCTCATCGACACCCTACCCCCCCCCCCCCCCCCCCCCCCCCCCCCCCCCCCCCCCCCCCCCCCCCCCCCCCCCCCACCCCCCCCAAAGCCCCTCACTTTTTATTCTCCGACGCAAGAAATTCATATAAAATCTACACTTAAGAGAGACGTTAAAAGAAAAACATTATATTCCATTTCAAAATCAAGGGCTTTCAGTATGGAAGTCACTCTCCAAATCTGAAAAAGACACCTCAGCCTATATAATCCCTTTCTTGGTGGATGACACTTGAAACTGGTGCAATCAAATTTTTTTCTGTCTCATAAAGTGTCAACTCACACATGCTTTAGAGCCTATATTTGTTTTTTGTGTAAATGGGTCAGTTTTCTATAGTTTGTTATTTTCTACATATCACTTTTCACTCTTCTTCCTATGATGTAATTTCGTTACAGTTCTTATATTATTATAACAAATCAACATCACGTTAAATTAAATTTTCCACCTTGAGAAACGCCACCTTGGCCAAAATTGGCTCCTGACAAAGTACAGAATGACAGTCTAAATCTCACCTGTGGGTGGCGACCCCTTTGGTGGTCCAACGACGCTTACAAAGGGGTCGCCTAAGACGATCGGAAAACACATATTTATGACGTAGCAACTAAAATAATTTTATGTTTGAGGGTTACCACAACATGAGGAACTGTATTAAAGGGTCGAGGCACTAGGAAGGTTGATAAATAAATAAAATTGGAAATTTCAGTTTGTCTGATTTACAGTGATTAATAGTTATAAAAAGAATTGAGACTTTGTTACACCTCACCATCCCTGTCCTCAATACCTCACCATCTCTATCCTCAATACCTCACCTTCCTTTTCCTCAATATCTCGCCATCCTTTTCCTCAATACCTCACCATCCCTGTCCTCATTACCTCACCATTTCTGAGGTACAGACTTGAAAAGACAAAAGTTAAAATAAAAAACATTATTTTATTTATGATGAAAATGCATGAACAATTAACAGCAACAGGCAAATTGTTGAAACATTGACAATATGAACCAATGACAAAATTAAAAAGTTCATGATAAAGCTCATCATATGATAATTAAATGTGTTTTATGCATGGTAGAAAAAAATGTTCCATTGTCCATTTCTGTCCTGGTGCAGGGCCGGCCCGGCTGTTGCTGGTGCCCTGTGCAAGCTTAGCTTTGGCACCCCTTTTAAGCATAATCATTAAAGGAAAAACGAGTTATTGGGTAATGAGTTTATTAGGTACATATGTTGTTTTCTTTTTAACAATGAACAATGATATTGTTTTTATTAACTTGTATTTGGACAGTATGAACAGTTAGCCTAGTGTTGACATTTTTTTTCTAACCTTTAGATCAGCAAAAATGCTTTTTTCCTATTTTGGAAGATCTTTGATGGCGCCCTAAGCACACAGTGCCCCGGGCAACTGTCCCCCCTGACCTGAGTTTCACACTTCACTATAATAAACTAAGGGAATTTACTGGGCGCCCTTATGGCCATGGCGCCCTGTGTGAGGGCACAGGTCGCACACCCTAAGGGCCGGCGTTGCCTGGTGGCTGAGGTGTCAGAATCCTGGAGGGGGAAAATATTATGTCCGTTGTTAGATGGTTGATGGCTGAGGGGGTCCTAGTGGATTTGATACTGGGGTACTCCGTGGGTCCCGATCCATCAAAACATCATTAGATGAGATTCGTGGAGAGTATATTCAAAAAGCCACTGTCAAACTTGTACAAGTTTAGAGCTCATCCTTAATAAGCACTCTATATGTAGTACTCATCCTTAATAATCACTTTATATGTTATCGAGAACACGCCAGAATTAATAAGCCCAGTTACTTTGCATCATTTAATACAAAATTCATTAAGGGAACTTGTTTTATGAACTCATGTAAAAGTTAATTTATGTTTGAAGGCTTGGATAAATTAACACACTTGATATCTCAATAAAGCTCTATAAGGCAGTGTTGAAATTATAAGTGAGTATGGCTAATAATAACATATGTTATAGTTGTTACCATTGGTGTATCTACATATGAGAAATTCACTTTTTTTTTGCCCCAATGGGACAGTTTTAAAGACACTTCAGAACGAGATATAGGATATGTTTTTTTATTCCACGGTCATTGCTTGCGCATCACAAAGCTCAGTCATGAGGCCCACACATTTGTCAACCAAGTGTTAAGATGAAAATGAAGAATTGGTTGTAGAACTTTTCTAAATATCATTTGTTAAAAATATATAGTTGGCATCAGTAACCAGTTTCTAAATATTTCTTTACACTTTTTGGAATGTATCAGTATCAGGACTAGTGTTTGCATCTAAGTATTATTTGCTGGGAATAGTTGCGAGCATTGTGTTTGAGAGCAAACTTTGAACTCTCAAATGAGAAACAGCAGAACATTATTCTAAGTCAGCATCGATCATTTCCCTGATTAAACAATGTACATTTTTAGATTGATGGTCATTGATGTCTTCTTCATGTACAGCTATTCAGTTAAATTGGCTTGTGTTATTGCAGTACTTGTTTGTTGCTATTGAACATCCAGTCTCTTCTCTCTCCATTGGATTTTCCCTTAGCTTCACCTTCTTCTTTTGCTAGTAGTAGCTTTCTTAAAGAAAGTAGCATTTTCTTTATCCAATGTAAAAATGCCCATGCAATACTTTAAGCCATAATGTTTAGTTGGTCTTTGACTGTTGGAGTGAAAAAAAATGGCACAAGCTAATGGGCAGTAGTAACATAACAAGCACAATATATCTGTATTTTTCACCCCACTCTTGTCAATACTGATAAAAAATAATTCACAGAAAATCTCAAAAAGATGTGAGACATAACCCCCTCAAAAAAATTAAAAAGCACATTTCAAAGGTCAAGGCCATCACATTCATCATACCCCAGATCAAAATTGACACTTTCACTTTTACAAACCCCTTCTTGATGTGTGAAACTTGAAGTTGGGGCAGTCAAATTTTGCACAGGTTCATGTATGAAATGTTGCATAGATTCTCCTGCAGATTGGTTAACATGGCCCTGCCCTGTTCCAGTGCTAGCAGGATCCATTTCTCCTGCAGGCAATGTCGTCACTACTGCATTATTCAGATCAGATCTGCTGGTGGCAACAATGGAATAGAAACCTCCTTTGTATGCTTTCCCAAAATCTTCATCATCATCATCATCTTCTTCACTGGGATCACTTTCTACGTAAGCTGCCCATTTCAATGATACCTTCTGTGTCGAGTTTCTCTCTTTCTTTTGCTTAGAAATAGTTTTACTTTTACATGTTGCCTGATTGTCACCTTGAACTTTCAGTTGATTTGAAATGACCATAACTGAATTAGTGTCAGGAGGGTGACTGTCATCAAGGTTAGGGTCATGGTCCACGAGGTCAACTTGACCCTTCAGTGATGAACCTTGAAGAGTCAGCAGCCTTGTAGCATTGAAGCCATTTGACCTGCCAATGTTTGAGAGTGGTGGAGGTAACCCATGAGACTTGACAAATGTGTTTGATTCAACAGCAGACCTGGCGCATTGCGGTCCGGGATCCCTAGCACCTGCACGGTGAGTTTGGCTGATGGAAGAATTGGGGTACAGATGGTGTTTCCACTGCACTGAGTTGCCAGTCTTCAAGCCGTCAATCCCGATGTACTCATCACTAATCTCCTGAAATTTATTGGCGGACATTTCAGATGAACTGTGAAAACAAAAAAGTATTGTAAATAGGCAGCAGAAAGAAAAGAAAACAACTCCAGGAAAGAAAGTTTTTCTTAAAAATCCTTTATAAAATAAAATATCTAGCAATGGTGGGTGGGGCTGAGAATTCGACAATTGAAGTAACCCACTTTAGATGAATCCCAAATAGTGCTCCCCCCAACCCAAAGCCTCGCTACCGTGCATTTTTTCACGCCCCTGAACTATATTGATATTCTAATGACCCATCCGCTTTTACACCGCAGATTTGCTTCAACAATTATCTTAGAAAAACAAAATAAAATATTACGCACCAAAAGCAATATAAATTTTTTTTAAGAATCTCATTTAGAGCAGGTATAGGGAATTATATTTTTCGAGATCATATTTCATTCATGTTCCCCTTGACAAACAGGAAATATTGATTTTGAGGGTTGGGGTTGAAAATTTTGAAAGAATGTTTTGTCATTGGCAATGAGTCTACGTTCTAACTTTCAGATTGATCATTTGATAGAAAGTGGGTCAATTAGCCGTTTGAAGATTTTGCCAACCAGCTGTCCACAAACAAAAGCAAAGTTAACGTAAAGGATTTAACAAAAGAGAAATTTGATCAGGTAATATTTCATATTAAATATAAAGACATGTTTTAAATAGTAAGAGACTTTAATTTAAAAGTCCCAACATGCCACTGATTTTAATGGCTGAACAAAACATCCCTTACTTCTACTGACACAAAATCAGACATTTTGGAAAGGTCAAAACACTATCTCATAAAGTATAAGACCCTATTGGTTAAAGCAACTGTACATATGATCCTGGGTTGTTGTTTTTTTATGAAAAAAAAAGTTAAAGCATTTAACAATTAACATGTCATACCCATCTCTCTTATGCAATCTTCTTCTCTTGTTTCTTTTGTGGAAATCAGAAACATCATAAGTAGATAGAGCAAGATGTTGGCAGTGCATACTGTCCCCGACAGGCTCAGCCTCATCCTGTGCACCTTCCATAAAATGAGACCAGCGACTCTTTTCAGAGAAACAAATTTAGAATATTAAAAGAACTTGATACCATTAAACAGCTGTGCATGAAGGCACTCCTTCTAATACTGTAGGCTTTGCTACATCAAATTTTCATTTTATCTAAAAACATTTCAAAAAGCATGTTAAAAACTTTACAGTTTAATAAGATCCATTTGCACTGTAATTCTTACCTCTTTGAGTTTGAGACACTTAAAATCAGTATCATTTTTTTCATGGCTATCAATAGACCGGACATTATTAGAGAATGAACGTGGCGACACTAGGCAGTTTTCTTCTATAGTCTCATCTATCTGTCCTTGAAGTGTGTTGAGCTTCTGAACATGTCGCCTGCAGTCTGCACCGGTTCCGCGACCATAGCTCTATAACAATTATATAAAATAAAATACATATATTTCAATGTAACAAATTTATTCAGATCAGTGCTGAAATAAATGATGGTAGATTTTCAAATAATCCTTAAGTTGCATCTCGAAAAGAATGGAATGCCTATTTGTTTAAATTAGACTCACTGGGTCTGTGCTATGATTATGTTACCTCACGTAAACAAAAAAAAACAGAAATCGGTAATGACCGAATGAATAAAATCAATAAAGAATATGTCTGCTGAGAGTTAAGACAAGACTCAAACAAAAACATACGATGAAGGATCGTTCTCTTTCTGTGCCCCCAAACAATGGAATTCTCTTCCACTACACATTCGCAATATACTATATACCCACCAGCACAGCCTTCAAAACTGCACTCAAACACATTTCTTTATAAAGTTTATACTTTCCTATCCTGATTCCCCCACTCTGATCGATAAACAATGCTGCTGGGTCAATGGCTTGACATGCAAATAGTTCTTAAATGTGTTGAGTGAATATACATTTGTTTTGTTTTATTTAATTAATGATAATGTATGTTAATTTTTAAGTTCATGATTATTTTTGTTATATTGTATGTACAGCGTGGTGAGCCCAGCTGGGGTACCGCACTATATAAAACCACTAATAATAATAATATAACCACTAATAATAATAATATATATATATATTATATACATATATATTTAAATATAAATATATTATATATATAATAATAATATAATATAATATATATTCTTCTCTATAGTCCATAGTATAGCATATATTCAGGGCCTAGTTAGCAAAAGACCAAAGCCAAAAGTAAATAGGCTATAGACCTATTAATTATTAGTTTATTGGTAATAAAAGGTTACCGAGTTACTGAAGTACTGTGACTGTGATTTGCGAGGCTATGTCTACGCATAGGCATAGCCAAAATAGTAAGTAGTAAATAATAAATAGGAATGCAAGGATGATTATTGATCTTTTACTTTTGTGTAAATATGCGACGCCGATAGAGATTAATTTTATAAAATTAGTCTACTACAACCTTAATTAATGACTGCTTTTCTGCACATAATTTACATTTCCATTTAGGAGATTTTGTAACTTGCATCACTTGAAATGTTTTGCATTTAGAACATCGTAGAACTTGAAATTCAACCATACTGAATACAGTGAATTGTCTTCGAACTTCGTGTCGAAATTTAATTCGTATCACAACAAAAAGGCGAATCCGGTGAAAAGGAATTTGAGAGCATTTTTAAAAGAAAATCGCACTCTAAGTTAAGAATTTAAAATGACGGAGACGTTGCTTCTTTTTTTTTTTTTTTTTTTTTTAATTTGTTTTTTTTTTTTAATTTTTTTTTTTTTTTTTTTTTTTTTTTCTAATTTGCTTTTTTTTTTTAAATCTCTGTTTGAATATAAGTATAAGATATATTTATTAAATTATAGCCATGCAAATGCAGTGTTTCTCAAACTTTGATTACATGTATCAATCGTGATACAATTCTTAATAAAAAATTATTTTTTTTTAATTTTTGTACATGACATGACATGTCAAAGTGAGAACTGAATGGGTGATATAATTCCCTCAAGTACTTTTAAAACTTAAACGACTCTTCTTAGATATATATCTAATCACCAGAAATGTTAAATATTGAATTAAAATATAATGTTTCAACAAACCTAACCAAGGGTTTCAAATAACAGAGATAAATGTATCCCTAAACCTAACCTGAACCCTAATTATGCCTAATTCATGGCAACTTAGGCCCTAATTATAAAATTCTGTAAAATTGCAAATTATTTTTTTAAAATAGCAATTTTCATCCTTCACTGCATAGAATTTTTAAAAATTATTTTAAAACAGAAATAAGAACAGATAACTTATCTCACATGCCATGATAATTTGAGGTCATTAAGAATATGACAGCTGACCATAATAGTATGATTAAATAACTTTTTTTAATGAATGGTTATAGAAGTCTACTACCTGATAATTTGTATTTAATAAATTGATAGTAGAAAGTTTATAAAAAATTGAAATCAGAATCTATTTAATTTAAATCTTCTCCTTATATAATAAGAATAATGTAAGGAATTTATTAAAACTTTAGAACCATTAATTTAAGTGGTTTGATATGTTTCTCATTTACTCAGTGATAGCTAATATTAGTTGCTTAATTGTAATTAGTAATATTCCTAAATTGAATAGTGAGTTTATATTGTTTTTCAAGGTTTATTTCCTTATTCCTGATGTTAATTGTCACAGCTGAACTTAGCAGCAGGACTGAGATTCACACATTCCTTACTGCATTTGAAAACGCTAAATTTATGAATTAAGGCACAGGGTCACCAAAAACTGATTTTTATCAAGTGGATTAGGTCTAATAATAAAAATTTATTACCACTGACTTTAACCTTTGTAAGATATTGATAGAGAACCACTTTACAGTATTTTTTTCTGGGGTTGGGGTGGGAAGGATTTTAGTATCTATCTATATAAAATTAAATATATTTATATATATATTTATAAAAAATAAAATTTAAAAAATTAGTAAAGAGTAAAACAGTTAATGAAATGAATGAAAAAGTCCAAGCCTTATTTTCCATAAGATCGGCAAAGTTGTAATTGTTAAAACATCCAAAATACCAGAAGCATTGACAACAGTGTAAATAAAAACAAACCAAAACAAATTGATTAGTAATCTAAATATTTTATTATATCATCTATGTCAATCACTCAAGGGAAACTTTGGAAAAATCTTTCACTTGTGAATGCAAATTGTTCTAAATCCCAATAACAACTGATCAAATAAAATTAAAACCTCTCATTTATAAATCAAAACCAGCATTAGCTACCAATATGCATTTGTTAAATTTAGGTAAATTATAAATAACTGTTTTAAGTTTTAAAATGTTTATTGTCAACTTGTTTGAATTATCCTAATGTAAGAAAAGTATTTATTAAAATAGAAAATCACTTACGTTGAAAGAAAGAAATTTTATGAAAATAGGGTATTGTAAAAAGTGAATATGTAAGTTTTAGTTTATGTATATTTACACCATAAACAATTTATTATTTTATATTATTTTGTAACTCTTCATATCTTAAAATTAACTGGAACAATATCTTGACTCTTTATACACATTATTTATAAAAAAGAGATTTGATTTTTCACAAATGCTTTTAATATATAAAAATGGCTGCCAAATCAGGAGTTACTGAACCAGTTAAGTAAAATAAGAAATTTGGGTAATCGAATAAATTGTATAATAATAAATATTATCAGGCTGTTTGCTTGAGATTTACACTCATAAAAGAAAAAGAAGCATGATGAGATCTGATATATTCCAACAATACAGCATTGTGTTGGAATTTTTTCAGATGTTCTCAAACCTAGAATATAGGGATAAAGCCAGACATTAAGATACAGCCATGACATGGTTATAATAAATATATATTAAAATAGTTACGCTTTTTATCATGCAGGAATCAATGTTTAGATTTTCAATAATGTTTTTTAGTTTTTTTTATGAAAATAAAATTTAAAAAGTAAAATGTACATAGTCCTTAAAAACTGTATAGACTTAGAATTAAAAATTGAAGCTAACATCAGATGATGAGGAGTCAGTTATCCATTGGGTGTTGATGGGGCATCAATTGGATCTAAAACAGTGGTTGTTGATGGGTCATCCGTTATTGTAGCTGCCCATGGTTTTAATCATGTCATCTATAGTTGAAGCTAGAAATAGAAAATAATTTCTTAAATTACATTTGAAGATAAAAATAAAAATGTATGAATACAACAAAAAAAATATGTATAAATTGGTTTTATTTAAATATATTGTTTTAATAAAAATCTGTACAAGTTTTACAAATTTGGTATAATCAAAACTGACCTAACAATGCCCATTCTTGCCCATTACCAAGCAAAGAACCCACTTCATATATATATATCTATCTGCTGACCAAGCCAAGTGCTCACTTCAGATACAGATATCTGCTAACATGTAGCATTCCATTTCCTTCTTGAAATAACTGTTGAAAAAAAAAACAAAGAAAGGATATATTTTTAAAATGTGTTTATAGAAAATAATTTGAAAAGTTGTTAAAATGTTTGTTCAAGTTAACTGGCAGTTTGTGTGGTGTTCTACCTACCAAATAATAAAAAATTTTGTTTGAATCCTGTCCCAATAATTTGTGAGAGGCAATTGTTCCCAAAAAGTTGAGTTAATGATTTGGAAAATAGATACCGTAATTAATATTTATTTTATTTTATTTACAAAAAATTTGTTTTCTTTAATTAATAAAAGTAAATTATTAGGCCTAACAAATAATTTTGAATAAACTTTTAGATCCCATATTGTTTCGTATAAATACTATATAAAATGTAATATCGAGAAATGTAGGGGTTAGTTTGATAATTTTATAAAACATGCATACCAGTAATGCACTTCATAAAAATCCCAATTAGTCCCTCCCCCTCTCCCCCCCCCTCAAGGCTTGCAACCGCACATTTTTTTCACCCCAGTGAACAATGCTAATATACTAATGACCCATCTGCTTTTACCTGATTTTTTGGAAGTTGGAGAGTGGGGCTGAAAATTTGAAGATTGTTGTGAAGAAAAGTACATCACCTAGAGGTCGGTCCCCTGCATTATAGCCACAGAACAATTAATAAGTGACAGAACACCTTTCTTTGTACCGGTAGTCCCTACAGAGCTGATGTGTTGAATGACCCCCTAGCCCCTACAGAGCTGATGTGTTGAATGACCCCCTAGCCCCTACAGAGCTGATGTGTTGAATGACCCCCTAGCCCCTACAGAGCTGATGTGTTGAATGACCCCCTAGGCCCTACAGAGCTGATGTGTTGAATGACCCTCTAGCCCCTACAGAGCTGATGTATTGAATGACCCCCTAGCCCCTACAGAGCTGATGTGTTGAATGTTTCAAGTAACAAAACAAACTGTGAAACTATTCAGGTTTCTTATTACTTATTGGCTTCATATGCGTGACAGTGATAAAATGCATAAGAAATAATCATTGGTGTTCAGAATAAAATAGACCTGTCCAGAAATTTTACACATGCTATTACAAAATATAGTTACACAACTCCTAGGGAAAAATTTTTTTAAAATCCTCTTCCATCCACAACAATGTCACTATCTCAAAACAACTATCTTTTCACACACTCTTTTCCTCACGTGGTTTTTAAAGACACACCGCAATGGTCATATGTGGCTGAGACCATTTGTGGGACTCAATGGGTAAATCAAAAGGAAAAAATCACTCTCGTTCACGCAACCTCATCCAAACAGACAAAGAACAAAATCACGCAATCTGGTCATGACAAATGTGTTGTCATTGGCAATGAGTCTTTGTGCCAAATTTTAGTTCGATAGTCTGATGGGAAGTGGGCCAATTAGCTGTCTGAAGAATTTGCCACCCAGCCAGTCAGTCAGCCAGCCACAAACAAAAGCGAAGATAAAGGATTTTAAAAATTGTTAACCTTATAATGGATAAATGTAAGCCCCTCACAATATACCAATTAATGACACACTTAAGCAGAAAGGCCTCTCAAAATCAATAAGCCTACTGATCCTTACATTTTAAATAGGGAAGCTGAATTTCACAAAGTTTAAAAATTGAGCTCAATTAATGACAACAAAAAAAGTTTGTATAACATTCAATATGAAATTTACAAACAAATTTTATGACAAATAAATACCTCAGGATAACTTAAACATTGAAAATAGTGACACATACACTTGTCAAACCACTGGTGTGTCTGCTGTAAAGTCTCTGGCCCCTTCATCTGATGATTTGATGCTCTCATAATGAACACTGAGAATTGCTGGTGTTGACCTTTCACTCAAAAAGCGATGTAAAAAGTAGGACCCACAGCTAACCATCTGGATATAAAAAGGAAAATAAAAATTTCTTGAAAAAATCATTCAACTTGACATATACTATAAAAAAAATATATTTTGTAAACTTTGATTTCATTCAGGCAGCTGTTATTGTGCATGATGTGCACCTAGTATAGCACAGAGCTGCATAACCAGGAGAGCACAGTGATGCACACCAAGAAGAATACAGTAGTGCACACCAAGTAGAACACAGCATTAATGCCATTGGTATGCAGTGTGGAGAGCACAGAT